ATACATGTGACGGGAAATGTCACGTGGTATGACAAAACCAAATTCGTTCGTCTACCGTGAAACTATAATCCCTTCGTCAATATGATCCGATCAATTACGAGATATGGAGTTGTGTCAATCTCGATTATCGATCATATTTTTCACTCCACTATTAAGTCAATATAAGTTGAAAACTCCTTTTCGACTTATGAGTATACCTTGGCCAAGGATTTCATCATCGACTTAATTAAATGAAACGCAGATCATAATCACCTACTATCTAAGAGTGACGAATCATTTATTGATCAATCACAACCTTCATACAATTCTTGACATACCCGAACGATATCGTATTAGTGGCCCTTTTCAGAGCAACATCCAATACCGCCAAAGTATGACTATCCTCATATAAGGTACTATGACGACCTCAAGTCAAAGGACCAATTCCATTACCAAACGTTAGAGATTAACCACTGACACTTAGATAGTTATCCATGTGGAATCTGTCGACGGGTCTCCAATGTTTTGTTCTATAACAAAAATATCCACGTGTTCATTTAAGTGTCACCACACTTTAGCTTGTGAGATCAGCTACTTACTTCACAAGTAAGAAATGCCACACGTGATGGTCTATCCGTAATAACGATATCCGTATCTCGTTATTACTTACGACCACGGATGATTTAAGATTCAATCAGATTTAATTTGTATCTCACAATCACAACTCCTTGTGATTAACAAATTACGAAAATTTGAATCTACGAACTCTATTATTTATTTAATTGTCTATTAATTAAATAATAGATTTGCCATTTAATTGCATTAATTATATATAAAAGTACTTATGTCGAAAGTTGATTGGACCTAGGACATAATACTTACATCACCATTATGATAAATTAGTACGCAAAAGACTTAAGTGTCACGAGCCCTTGATTAGGAACAAGACTAAGAATGTAGGTATCCGAGGACCGAAATCATCTGTACAACATAATTTTTTTTTTTAACCTAAGGTTAAAAATTTGAAATCTAGGATTATTCCTAAATTCATTCCCACTTGTCATAATTTTGGTGAGTTAAGTCAAATTAGATCTTAGTGCTTTAAGCCCTTGATTAGGAACAACAAACAAGATCTAGCTACTCATGTTAGATTCTTGACTAATTAAGTGAGTAATTTGACTGAATTGATGATTCAATTAACTAAGATTAAATCTTTTTCTAAGAAGATTTGAGTCAAAAAGAGTGAAATCACATGTCAAAGAGATGACATTAATTGTGTTGTTGTTCATGTTGCTCTTCATGGAAAGAGTGTTTGTGTGCCTTGTTGATTAGGTGTTTAGGTGCATGCATCTACATTATTCATGATATTTATATATATATTCATATATGTACATTCCTTCATGACATATTAGTAATTCCTTTTTGCTTTATCCATATTTTAAAAACCAAAATTAATAAATAAAAGGGAAAAGAATTTTGAAGTCATAGCATTTTCAATTGATATTGTTTTATGGACATGTTTTGTAATCAAGTACTAGTTTAGTTTTATAAATGGTGAATAAAATTTTCATTTACTTTGTTTACAACTTGCTTGGAGTACTTGGTATAGATTATTGCATGTATTATCTTCACTCTACACATTAAGCTCTTGTGAGTGGATTTTGATCGCGTATGTGAGACTTGTGATGTTGATCATTTGTATGGTGGGATGACTTTATTATGGAATAACTTTTAACTAATTGACCTAATCTTTTGTATAATCCCCATAGAAGAAAAAGAGTATTGTGCTTCTAAATAATTGATTTATTGTTATACATCTTATACTTGTCTTGGTAACCTTTTTTTTAATTAAACAATTGAGTTTGTTGAGTATCTTAAAAACTGGTACCCTATAATCATTTGACTTTGGAGTCATCAACTTAAACTCATTATAGAGGTCATTAAGTATGCTTAATGAAGATAAATTTGCACATAAGACATGAAAGAATTGAAAAAAATAAAATTATATATATGTTCTTATAGATAGGTAAAGTTAAAAAAAAAAAAAATACTGAATTTGACTTCATACTTTGAGAAATATATTCATTCACCAATAATTCTTTGCATGTTCTTTTTCATTAATTTAAGATTTTGAAATTTGCTTACAGAAGTTTAGTAGCACTTTTCACCCATGTGTAGCTTATATAATTTACTCAATATAGGATTAAAATAAGTTGATTGGAAAAAGTTTACTATTTATGAATTATACTTGTATAAGTAAACAAATAATTGTTCACGATGTTATATTTAAAAATTTATGAAAAGTAGTTGTCTCAAAAGAAAGAAATTTTTATTCTCCCATCACATGTTTTGCATAATTGTACACGTGCATATTTGCTTTCACTCATTCTTCTTGGCTGTATTTATATTTATATTAATATTTTTCCTTTATTATTCGTGACAAAAAGGAGGAGAAATCAGTATTTATTTCAGAGAGTATATGAGTTAGAGGGAGAAGTTTTTGAAATTTGAATTTGATATTTTAATTAGGGAGAGTCATAGCAATTCCTTTATTGATTAGTAATTTGACTACCATGATTGAATATTTTGACTTATTGATATTATGTTATGTGTTTTGCATAATATTAATATCATTATTTTGTGTTGCTAATTCAGTTATATATCTCAACTTGTCATGTTTAGATTTTAAGTTATTTGATGCTTATAGTAGCACATGCATTGGTGTTATACATGTTTTGCCTGATTTATTTTTCTAACTCGGTTATATGCTTATTATAACTTTCCTCTTACTTTTCACGTGGTATTGTTGTTTTCACGTGTTTCAGGAAACTAGAACGACAAAATTTGAGTTAATGTTTGTGAATTGAGTCTTTGGGTAAGAGGGTTAGGTTGTTTTCATTGTAATTTTGAAATAAATGATTCTATCACGAAATGCCAAAGGGAGAAATTGTTAGGTCCAAATTTGTAATTGGCAATTTTCATATTTAAAATCATGAGTTATTGAGTTGTAATTAATGTTAAAATAGCTGTGGATTGGTAGTATATTTCTTGGATGAATCATAAATGTCAACTATGGATTAAGGAGAAAAAGTCGGCATAAAATTGTTGATTGGCCATGCAAAGAGTGCTTGAGTGCTCAGAAAATGGACCTCACCACTCTCCTGACCTTTGAACAATGGAGGCACAGCTTGCTAGGCCCGATGCCGGTGCTCAAGCGATTTTACGTCGACTTTTTTTTTTCTTTGCTTCATATATAAATTTTTTTATTCCTATAAGGACTATACTACCAATCCAAAACTATTTTGATTTTAATTAGGACTCGATAACTCATGATTTTGAATACAGAAATTGCAAATTGCAAATTAAAAAAAAAAAAAGAAAAGAAATGCTAATTACAAATTTGGACCTAACAGAATTGAATTATACTATATAATAGTTATGATATTATTTACCTTAGTGAAGATGTTGAAGATCCTGAATTCTACCATGGAGGCGTTGGTAGAAACTTTAAGCGTCCTTGACAAGTTTGTTAATTTCTGTAAAAAGTCCTTAGTTTGAACCCATTATTTGATAAAAAAAGATTTTGGAATAGTGAATTTTTTAAAAATGTGATTTTGAAAAGTAGAATTTTTTTTTTATAGGTTTTTGTGTAATATTTTTTTATTAAAAGAATATGCGGTTGAAAATGAGTTTGAAGAAAAATGTATTATTGAAATGAGACTCAAACAAATTTCTACTTTCTGCTAGTGTCACCAATATAACGAGCTTGTCTGGTTTTACTTTTTCACCAGATTTTCAACCAAAATAGAGCCGTTGGTCCAAGCTGCGAGTCCCACCTCACACACAAGTAGTAAAAATTGTGGGCTACAACAGTAGGAAAATTGTTGCCAACGATCACTTTTTTACTTTTAATTTCTCCCAGACAGGCCCTGATGGCTTAGTTGTTATTTATGGTCTCTAAAACTGAAATGGAAAGTCAATATTTATGAGATTTAAGAATTTCAACTTCCCCAGACACAATTTTTTTCTCATCAAAAGGCTTAATTGTGTGCTTGTATTTTTCATTTGACCGACTGTAGTAGTGAGGGTTATGCAAGTATTCATGTTGGCATGGTGTATTTCTATCGTGCTTATACTCAAGAACTCTTTCATGTGCTTAACAAATAATTGTCGGATTGTTTCAAATAATTTACTCTAGAAGACCAACATATTCCAATTTTTTGAAGCTGTTTGTTGCACATGTTATCAAAAATGAGAATGAGAATTCCTACCGTTGGACACATTTCTCATAGCAAAATGTGAGATGAGAGTAAGAATTTATGACAAGTGGGCTCCAGAAATGACTATAATTTTTCTAAAATGGAGAAAAAATATGCAACAAACAGGCTCTCAGAAAAATCTGTTTAAGTGGGTGTTTGAGTCACATTATTTTGATAATAATGCATTCTTAAATAGTGTATTGATGGGAAATGTGTGGTTAAAAAATAAAAAAAATTTTTTGATCTACGTTTAATATTATTTTATTGAAAAATGTGTGATTGAAATGATATCAAATCACTGTGTAAAAATATTTTTTTTTTGAAATAGTATGGCTCAAACATATCCTAAATCAACATAGTGAAAATCAATATTTGACTTGAATATGCCTGTCACAATTAAACTAATTGGATAACCTAATCCTTCAACCATCTCTTTTCGATTTGTTTGATGATCCACCAGCAAATCAACGTGTCCACAAATATTTGTTATCTTGACACTATTTCTATAGTTGCTTCGTTGTAGACTTGCAGTTCTATCCAAATAGTGGGTCCACAGTGCTTCGCACTTTTGCCCTTTCCCTATCCCTTTCCCTTTCCATGTAGGCCTTCCAATCTCTTTTCCTTCAAGAATCCCTAACCGCCTCTTTTGCTCTTTCTAGAATATCTTTTAGTGTTCTGATTATTAGATTGCGTAGATTTCTACAGGTACTCTGTTTGTACTGTCTTTCTAGATATTGAATATGAAAGGTAGCTCTTTTTTAGTGTTTCTTTTCATTTGTTGTTCGTATATCTGTTGACTCTAAGGAAGAAAGAGGATCGAATTTAGTTGAAAATTTTGCTTTATTTCAACGTGTGTTTTCTTTTCTCTTCAATTTAAAGCAAGAATTCTCAAGTGGTTCGGCTCTGATTTTATCTTGGTGGTTCAATTTCTGTTGAAATTTGAGTTTTTACAGGCGGGTTTTGATTTTAAAAAAAAGAAAAAAAGAAGAAGCTTCCTTTATTGAGGATTCCTTGTTTTGTGAAAATAAGATCTGATTTTGATGTCTAACATGGGGTTTTCATGTAAATTGTTTGAAAATGTTAGAGTTTCTGAACAACTGGAAAAGGAGTAGAGATGAGGAGAGGGAAAGATGAAGAGAAAATTATTGGGCCTATGTTTCCAAGGCTTCATGTAAATGATACAGAGAAAGGAGGGCCAAAAGCACCTCCAAGAAACAAGATGGCCCTTTATGAGCAACTGAGCATCCCTTCACATAGATTCAGTCGTGGAGTTTTGCCTCTTAATCCCGCTAGTAACACCGCAGCTTCTTCAATCCAGGTAATTAGATTATTTATATTTTTTGCTTATGGTTTTTTTTTTCCTGATCTTTTTTGTTTAGAAATGATGCTTACTTATATTGGAATTGTTAGTCGTTTTAGCTATTAATCATGAAGTTTATTATAATTTCTTGTAGATTTGTAGGTCTACTAAAATAGTTTGTAACTGGTTAACTGGAGTTATTGGTTGTTTCAGCGCTTGTCTTGTTTTATGACTGCATTAAGTTATGTAACTTACTTTGTTATCATGATCAGCTCAGTCTTATGTGTGTGGATTGAAGTTCAACTCGATGGAGATAAAATTATTCTTAAAATTTGCAACTTGGTGCAAGAATCTTGTGCTAGAGGACACTTGAATGTATTGAGTTATGGCGTAAACGGTAAAAAAAAAAAAAAAAAAAAAAAAGAAATGGATGAGAAGACCTTAAAGAGTCGGTAACTTGGATAACATTACTGTCTTGATGGAACCGAGCTACTTAAGCTCTTAATTTACGGTTGACTAAGATCATTAGAGTTATCTTCTACTGGTGATAGTCAGCCCTTTAAGATATTTTTGATTTTGTAACCTGACTATTGTTCTGACTGCTGCTGGCAAATCGTGTTTGCAGGGGGGTGGAAATGAAAAGGGTGCATTTTTGCCACGTCAGCTGCCTGCCAGACATCAGGCTGAGGAAGCATATAGCCAATATTCTGATTTGAGCAATCCGTTAACACAAGTTGGGCTGAAAAAGAAATCTGACGAAGATGATTGTACAGTTCCCATCTTCATTCATTCTAGGCCAAGTCAAGACCCTAGTAAGAATTTTAATGACGTCGAAAGGAAAAAACTCCCTCCCTCCAAACATACTAATCCCAATCCCTCAATGAAATTTGTAAAAAATAATCATAAGAGCATGATTGGACACGGTATGAGAAAAGAAAGCAAAACGCAGAAGGAAGAGAATTTGAAAGAGTTTGTGGCTTGCCAAAATCCATTAGTTAAAGCCTTCTCAAATTCTTCATCAACAAATAAGGCTGGAGGTCTGCAGAAACAAAGACATGATCCTGGTAATAGTATTGACAGAGTGAAGAATTGCAGAATACAGTCCGAGCTCAGTGCCGAGTCGCAACCTGCTTCTACTGTGCATGGTAATGTTGTTTTGAAGAAGCATGGTACAGACATAGAGAAAAGAAATTCTTCTATACCAATGAAGGATTTTTCTTCAGAAGAGGAGAACATTGTTTATGATACCAGTAACGATGCAGAGACCCCTGAAGACAGGGGTGACTGTTTGTCTGAGACTTCAATGGTCGATTCTATATCTGGATTCGATTTTTCACCTGATGATGTTGTTGGAGTAATAGGTCAGAAACATTTTTGGAAAGCCAGGAGGGCTATAGTTCAGTAAGTTCCAATGATCGTTAATTTCTTATCTAAATTTGTTTTTGTATGAAGGATTTGGACAAGAGTTACTGCAACACGGGGAAAAAAAAAAGTTGTACTGGATAAATTGATTAGTAATTATGTAGTCTATTGAAGGTGTTTGAACATGTTTAAACGTGTGTATGTAAGAAGTCATATACAAACCAACTAAAATTCAATCACTCAAAACCAGAAGTATCTGGTTCTTCACTTAGTTCTAAACGTATTAACATTTGCTGATAGCTATAATGATGATATACTGATCTTACATAAAAGCCATGTTAAAATATTTTTTAATGTGTGCCCATAAAAAAGAAAGATCTGAAATCTGGAGCAGGAAAAACTAATAGCTTGAAAGAAAACTCATAGATCTTCAAAGTTTGTTGGTTTTTTTTCTTCCCTCTGGATAGGACTCTTGCATTTGCTTTGGTTTGCTGGCTAGCTTATAAGAATATAAAGCTTCTTCAAGTGCAGAAATAAAGTACTGTTTAATATAACAGTATCTTATAAGGAAAATTAGAACTCTAGTGCCTACATTTATGGAAGATTTTCTTTCAGGCCTATTTCTACCTTTTCAGTTATTACAATTTAATTGGAGGCAGAGGATTGAATTATTTTCCTTTTAAGAAAACATTGTATATATTGGAGAACTACAATGGTATATTTTGGTATGGATGACTGGGTAGTTCTGAACATTGTTAGGGAAGAAAAAGAAGCTAAATTTTGTTCATTATAGGATCCAGTGCCAAACACTTAATGTGTTGATTGTGCACATTGCCTTATTATTGTTTTTTACAAAGCTTTGCTGTATGCCTTTGACCCTATCTTTCTTGATCTTCTCAGTCAACAAAAAGTTTTTGCAGTTCAAGTATTTGAGTTGCATAGATTATTAAAGGTGAGCACAGTTGTTCAGCTTCTAGCATTAGCGGGATGCAATGCAATCTCTTTATTTTTCATTTTCTTTGCTTGTTGGAATTGCTAAAAATGTTCCGTTCAATTTTCTATTCCGTAACAGGTTCAGAGATCGATTGCTGGTTCTCCTCATCTTTTGCTTGAGGATGCTGCTTATTTGGGTAAACCCGTAAAGGCTTTGCCAGCAGAGAAACTTCCATTGGACTATAATGTCAAAATGCCTCTGAATGTTTCCAAGCGAAAAATGGACTCTGATAAGCCGAGCCCTCCAATGGAATGCTCTGCTGAGAATACTGTGGAGAAGGCATCTGTTTCTTCTGTGCAATATAGTTTACCACCATTTTCAGGAAACCCTCCTGCACCATCAGTAAGTGGTGCCAATAATTTTGGACCATGGTGTTTTAATCAACCGAATGGGCACCAGTGGCTGATTCCCGTGATGACTCCTGAAGGACTCGTATACAAACCGTATCCGGGACCAGGATTTATGGGCCCTGTCTGTGGAGGTTATGGACCCCATGGATCAACTCCAGCACACGGGTTTCTAGCTCCGCATTATCAGTATCAACTACCTTCATTCCCTACAGCTGGACCTCATGGATACTTCTCTCCATATGGCATGCCACTTGTGAATCCAGCCTTTTCAGGTTCATCTGTTGAGCAGGTAAACCATGTTACCATGCACGACCAGTTATCGGCTGAGGAAGCTAATAGCAGTCCGCACCATCAGCACTCATTCAATATGCCGAGCCAGAAGTGCGGCATTTTCCCGGATGTTTCTTCATTGAATGTATCTAAGGATAGTGAATTAAAAGCGCTCACACCAAGTAATCCGAGAGAAAACGGGAAACGTAATGCTGGGGAAGGAAGAAACATGCTTCGACTTTTCCCGACGTCTCCAAGTCTTGACATCCCCAACTGTAGCCCTCAGCCTCTCGAACCCGAATGCCCTGCACGAGTGATAAAGGTTGTTCCTCACAATGCCATGTCTGCAACGGAATCTGCTGCTCGAATTTTTATGTCTATACAAGAAGAGAGGAAACAGTATGATTCAGTGTAGCCAAAATTAGTTTAGTTGATCTTTCTTTGAACTTGCCTGTAATTGTGTTACTGAACTTTTATATGATAGTATGTATAAATTCTGTATATAATTTTCGGAGAGATGTCTGCAGTCTATTTCTGTAATTGTTTATGAGAATTTGCCTTGAAATTTAGTTCAGTAATTTACGGTTTGGGTTTTAAATAATTACCGTGTTTTAGTGCTTTCTAGCAAGTGTTGTGGCGCCAGTTTAGTTGGCACAAAGATGATATAATTAATTGAATGTATCATCCCTATATTTATGCCCCATTTGTCCCCAATTACATCATATTTTATTTTTTTCTCTCATATTTTTCAACCATACAATCTTTCATAAAATAATATTCCACGTAAATCAAAAAAAATTTCATTCTTCTTCAATCACTCATTTTTTACATAAAAAAACACTATTTTACTGATTTTCATTTCAAAAAATGGGAGCCAAACGGGGGCTCAATGTATAAAGCTACTTTGTCATAAGGATTTGACAAAAAGTTTGACATAATTGCATTTGACGATAAATGATTAAATGAAAAAGTTGACTGGGTTTTAAATTATTAAATGATATAATGACACGTGACATTATGTCAAGTTTTATGTCAAACTTGATGTTAGTAATGACTGTCATTTGACACATAAAATGGTGGTCTAGCATAAATAGATTAAAAAATGTCTATTTTACTATTGTGAAAGATAATTTTATAAAAGAACATAATTATCGGTTGACTTATCTTCTCCTTTCTCATGTCACGTTGATACATATTTTTTGTAAACTTGATGCATACTCAAATGGCTTTACTATCGATCGACTACATGCAAAATTATGGCGAGTATATATTCTTTCCCTCTCTCACGTCTTGCTCATATATATTTTGGTTCACATGTACAAATATACAACTTTCGTACTTGAAATCCAGTTATTACCTTCATTTTCGAAAACATGGTCCCATTCGGATTAAAAAGAGGTAGGCTAAGGTTAGATGTTTATAATTTGATCAACTTGATTCCATAATTATAAAGTTAATTATATGTTAATTTCATATTGATGAGCTGGAGATTTCAATATGATCCGTAACATTCCCAACAAAGTGTACAATACTATGTTTATATATAAATTTTTACGTCACTTTATTTTATTTAGAATTAGAAATGTGTGAATTAATGAACCCAAATTTTACGTATCTTTTATTATGTGGATCCAATTCACGTCTTTGAGTTTCTATTTAATCGAGATATTCCAGCAAATATTATTTTGAAAATTAATTTCAAAATATATGAGGTAAACTTTGAAAAGAGAGAAATGTACGCCACATAGGACGCTTCACTGTAAATAATGTTATTAAAAATAAAAATTGGAAGAATGCTACTTTAATAATAATAATAATAATAATAATAATAATAATAATAATAATAACAACCCTTCATGGGGTGATCAAGTTGGTGGATTAGGTGAGTGCGAAGGCATTTGATCATGAGTTTGATTCCCTTATCAACATTTTCTCGATTGAGCATATCGTACGGAACTTGTCTAGTGTAATTTACCTCGTTTGTGTGATTTGCATGATATTACGTCCGTTCGAGAGTTTACCCAATACGCATTTGAAGGGTAGCGACTGCCCCGTTGTAAAAAAATAATAATAATAATAAATAAAATATTAATAATAATAACAATAATAATAATAATGAAAAGAAATAAAGATGTTAAAGTGATGTTTCAAGAAAGGTCGATAATCGTTACCGTGGGACTGGGCGTCCACCTTGGTATCTCGAATTTCTTTTAGAAGTATCACCGAGTAAAGTGCGATTATTTTACGTGTAACTTCACATAATGATCCCGCTCTTTGACCTATAAATCTACAGTGAAAGTCGGGAGAAATTGCTTCTGACATGGCCTCCCGTCATCAGACCCCGTCTCCACTGCTACCTGACTCCGGTAATTCTTTTTTATTTACCAATTTTAATTTAATTATTCTGCTTATTTTGATACGAAAACAATTATTTCTTGCTTTTTGCTTATTTTTATGTGCTTTTTTTACATCGTCAATTGTGGTTTGATTGCTATGTGATCTGATGATTTCACTTTCGTTGTTTCACTTTTTGATCAATTATAAATGTGAGATTCTGTTTATGCGTATTTATTTTAGCTTTTTAGTTGTGAAACATTCTCGATTTTTACTGGAAAATAATCGATTGTAACGTGTTGTTTTGACGGTCTTATGGTTTATTATTAGGATCATTATTATTTTAACAGGAGACAATAGTAAACACGGAGTTTATGGTTTATTTTTTTCATTCTGCTGTTGTAATGTTGTTTAATGGCAGTTGAATTTATTAAAATGGTGTTCAATTTAGCTATAACGATATTGACCCCGGTGGCAAAGTCGTTGCATTTGATTATTATGCTATTAACGAAAGATGAATAGTTCATCAATGAAGAAAATGTAAATTTACAATGATGCTTTGAAGCTTAAAATTGATAGAGGATTTGCAAATTTATGTGGTATCTAAGTGATATGGTTATGCATTTTTTGTTGAACCTTGAGTAAGGAAGAGATCAAAAGGGTTATTGGCCCTGGGAACCATGTGGTTGTGGGGTTTGGAATTTTTATTTTTATTTTTATTTTTTATTTTTGAGCACTCATATGCTATGTATGGTAAACCCTTCCGGCATGGTATTTGATTTGAATTTGTTTGTGGCCATTAGGAGTGGTAATGTTGCAATTTGAGCTACAAATCACTATCACAAACTAGGCTTTATTCTCTGCTTGTTGCAATATTATTTTAGAGCTCTAAACCAAGCCTTACTCCCAAATGTTTTATGTTATCTCCCATAGCTTTTGATGGGGATTGCTGATTCGGAAGTAATATATGGCTTAATATTGCAATGTATACATTCAATTACTGTGCAACATTATTCTTCTATGAATTGGCTTCTTTTTCTTTTCTTTTCTTTTTTTATTTATTTATTATTTTATTATTTTTATGTTTGCTCTCATGGCATCACATGTCATGTTTTTGGGAATGGCATAAGTAAGAACTAGAGCACTTCCATTTATAATGCGCATGAAAGTTGAAGGTCGCTTCATTGAATTTTTTTAGGTGATACACCTTGCAACAACGAAGAACAATTGTCTCCAGTTCCAATCCATGTTGTTACCAGTGCATGTCAACTTCCTGCTGAATTTCTGGAGCCTTCGCCTGAGAATCAACTAGTTATAGGCTTTGACTGTGAGGGGGTTGACCTCTGTCGCCATGGGACTCTTTGCATCATGCAGGTTTGTTTAAATTTTATTATCAAGATATAGTTTATTTACTGCAGAGCTGAGAACTTTTTCATTGTCATGATATCAATTTCTTCATTTTTGAACCATATTTTTATGGAGACAACCATCTCAACCTTCTTTGAAGGTTTGAAGTGCTTACAATTGTTTGTTGACCACCCCTTAGTGTATTGAATGAGAACCTTGTGTGCTACGCTACTTCTATATGTTTTGTGGATTCATTTACAATAAACTCAGGGAAGTTACTTAAAATGTGGAACTAGGGATAATCTATGTCAAAAATTCGTTGAGCGAGTAACCGAGTTAACAATAGTATTTGAGAATTAGATATAGCGATTTTAGAGTTTTATACATGTTATTTTATTGTTAAATTATTTATATGAAGATAAAACTTTTAATTAAAGTACCAATTAAAAAAAAAGAATAAAATTATTTATCCTAAGAATGATTTACTTTCTACTATGTTAAAAAATTATGTGATGTTGAAATTTGTCCAACCAATTGTTTCCGCCTTCTGCAGCTTGCCTTTCCAGATGCAATATATTTGGTTGACGCCATTGAGGGTGGTGAGATGCTTGTAAAAGCCTGTAAGCCTGCACTTGAGTCTAGTTACATCACAAAAGTTATTCACGATTGCAAACGAGATAGTGAGGTCTCTTATTGTACTCCTCTCTCCTTGAATCTCAATATGTTGTGCAAGATACCATGTTTGTTTATTTTTTCTCCTTTTATTGCAGGCATTATATTTTCAATTTGGCATCAAGTTACATAATGTTGTGGATACCCAGGTTAGTTGCTCTTTTGTTCAGTTTTTCTATTCTAAATATTGTCCTGTAGCCATGTTGTTCTACAAAATTATGAATTGCCAGAATGACAATTGACATGGAGATCGTATTTTTTAACTCCACATTCCTTGCAGCAGGGATATATTAATATGCAGTCGAGGATCATATTTATTTTATGTTTGAAATCCTAAGTTTTAGTTCATGATTTTATGAGGGTTTTGCTAAAGATATAGTCTTCCTAGTTTTGATATGCCTGTGTTTAAACCGCTCATGGGTTTCTTTTGAGTCAAGCACATTCTCTATGTTTTCTTTTTTCTGCTTTTAACTTTGGGATATGAGTTCAAGTAAAATATATTGAGCTCAAGCTTGACCCAGTTCAATGTCTTGAGGTTCACGCTTGGATCTAGGGAATACAAAACTTTAGCTTATTGATTCCTATTTTCAAAATGAAACAGGGAGAGTCGGTTGGTTGCAGGGAAGATTTGATGTAGCATTGCCATTCTTTTATGATTTTATGAGGGTTTTGCTAAAGATATAGTCTTCCTAGTTTTGATATGCCTGTGTTTAAACCGCTCATGGGTTTCTTTGAGTCAAGCACATTCTCTATGTTTTCTTTTTTCTGCTTTTAACTTTGGGATATGAGTTCAAGTAAAATATATTGAGCTCAAGCTTGACCCAGTTCAATGTCTTGAGGTTCACGCTTGGATCTAGGGAATACAAAACTTTAGCTTATTGATTCCTATTTTCAAAATGAAACAGGGAGAGTCGGTTGGTTGCAGGGAAGATTTGATGTAGCATCGCCATTCTTTTGCATTTCTCCTCTTGTTCTCATTGCTTAAATGTTAATTATTGTTGGTGGTTCTTTTAGGCAATTTTATGCGATGATAGCACAATTCAATTAAAATTAATATATTCTTCGCAAACAGATTGCTTACTCTTTGATTAAGGAGCAAGAAGGACAGAAAAGAGTGCCTGATGACTACATTTCATTTGTTGGCCTCCTCGCTGATCCAGAATACTGTGGTATATACTGCATTTCTGGCACTTATTGTTTTCATTGTTCCTTGTAATTCTTTGCTTGCAGTGTACCTGTTTGAGCTTCTTTATTCTTTGCTTATGAAAATAGGCCTCGAGTCATTTTATCTTGAAGGTTTTAGTTTCTAATGATAGCTTGTGTATCACAAAAGCAAGGGTGGAGAACTTTCAAAGTATGAGCTTCACTGTCAGACCAACTAGATTTTGAAGGCCATCTCATTTTATTTTTGAAATTACTGCTGTACTTGTAGATGTAGCCCGTGGAGCTCGTAAGTCTAAAAAACTGCTAAATATCAGCATGCATGTCAAGATTCGAAAATATAGGCAATCATCTATCAACTTGTCTGCTTAACTGATCACCCAATTGATTATTTTTCCTTGATGTATCTAGAAATGAACTTTCCTATTTATATGAGACGATGGTAGAGAGGACAGCTAAATGAGAGTTTTCTGATACTGGCTCTGACATGGATCCTATGCGAAATGCAGTTTCTGTATCAGCTGGAAAACAAGGATCATTGCATTGAAGCATTGTCATATCAGTAGAAGACAACTTCAGTGATCTATCACAATTAGCCCCTCTTTGGTTTAGATAAAAATAAGATTTTTGGTAGATTTTAATAAAAGTTGATGGAATGTGTGTTTAAAAAGTTGTGGGTCATGTGAAAGTTGTGGTTAAAAATAATGTTGACTTCGACTTTAATCCAAATTTTTAGTTAAACCAAACAGGGGCATAATATAAAATTCGATAAAATAAAAGTTTTTAAAATTATTTAATTAATTAGAGAAAGAACATGTTTTTAAAATCTAGAGGGACTAGATTCATGCACGCATATTTTATATTGTAGTAGAAAGTGACATGATGCTCTCAATTTCAAATCAATTTTTACATTCACCCTAGAAATCCGTTTTATTGATATTTAATGATATTGCAGTAGAAAGTGACATGATGCTCTCAATTTCAAATCAATTTACATTCACCCTAGAAATCTGTGTTATTGATATTTCATTAAAATACATAAGGATATTAATTTAAATATGTACAATAAAGTTATTAAATTTACTATAATGTAATTAATCGTCGAATATATGACAGTGTACTAGAATTCTTGCCCTAATAAGTCATTTTACATTAAATGGAATTCTCTCAGAATGATAGTATTGTTTGATATAAATATTTTTTTACCATTGGGAAATTAGTTCCCATAAATTATATCACATATATAACTTGTGCCAAATGTACCAGCAACAAGGCGCACTTTGTATTAGTGGCATGACATTTTATGAAATGTTTTTGTGCTAAAAGAAAATGTTAATATATGTAAGCCGCTCTGTGTATTTATAAGCTAGTTTGCTTTACTGAAATTTTCTTTAATATGTGTGTGTGTGTGTGTGTGTGTGTGTATATATATATATATTTTTTTTTTTTTTTGAGTTTGGGAATTGTTGTTTTTCAATACAATGCCCCTGAGATTTACTTGATGCTTCTTTACAAGAACAGGTCTCTAAACACTGTATAGTCATACCATTGGGTCATAATTCACCTTGATGCTTGAATTTCACTTTTTGAAATGTTTTTACAGGGATATCATATGGTGAGAAGGAAGAAGTTCGAACTCTATTGAGGCAGGTTGGTTTTGTTTCTTCTCATGATATTTTTAAGTGACTGTACTTATTGCGGTTCAAATAAAATTTTTATGGTTTAATCTCTGATTTTTGTCATTGTTGAGGAGGAGCTCATGTAATATAGTCATATAATTTGCCATATTTCTTATCAAAATTCCATTTCAATGAGACTCTCCCCCCAGGGGATGAAGTGACTTGCATCTGAGCCAAATTACATTGCCACATGCATGAACAATGGCATCAAATAGAGAATCTTGGGAGAGTTAATCAGGAGACAATAGTTAGTTGTGCATGAATCTTTTCTAATGTACCATTTATCCATCCTTACTTTCTCATAGGCATGTCTGGTGATGTAAATATCTATTTTCCCCCGATTAAATTGCTGGGTTTGTGTATATGGATTGTCATTGTTTTTAAAATGTTGGTGTCTTTGGTTTTACTCTTCTTTGGTTCATTCAGGTTTCATGAGAAATTTGTATTGAATTTTGTAACTATAGTGAGAGGTTTAGAGCCACTTGACACTCGACCTAATATTAGGTGTGCTTAACATTTCTTTGTTGATATCCATTGCTACAATGCACATCTTGGAGGTACATCTGCTCATCTCAGTCTTGATGATTTCTAGGATCCTAACTTTTGGAAGTATAGACCATTGTCAGAACTAATGATCCGGGCAGCTGCAGATGATGTTCGATTTCTTCTATTTGTATATCATAAGATGGTGGAGAAATTGAACCAAAGATCCTTGTGGTATCTTGCAGTCCGTGGTGTGCTTTACTGCAGATGTTTTTGCATCAATGATAACAATTATGCAGATTGGGCCACTCTGCCCCCAGTTCCAGGTTTCCCCCTAATATTTAGTTTTATGCTTCGTAGTTCTACTAATATGTGTTTATACACTTGCATGAATGCATGCATTATCAATTATATAATTTGAAAATGGATCTCATTGAAGATACTCAAATTACCTAGGGTCGAAGTAAAACATTTGATAAACCCTGGTCCCTTGTTGCAAGACATAGTTTGCTTAAAATTCATGTACTCCAGTCCCTAGTCCCTTGAGCTAACTTGTTGCAAGACATAGTTTACCCTATATATAATTCTTCTAAATTAAGTTTAGCAGTTCAATAAATCTTGTTTGGTGAAAAATTTCCCTTGCTTCAGTTACTGAGATCCCAGCCCCTTAGCTCAAGAGATGCGAGTCAGTTTTCTTTTGGCATGTTGCACGCATCATAGTTTTCACCTTTTAATTTGATTGAGACCTATTTATAGCCTTTTTGTTCCCTTTGCTGATTTTTGTTTCAACTAGTTTGGCCTAATTATTCAGTGCTTACAGTTAAAATCTCCTGGATGCCATTCTAGTTTTAGCGGTGCATTGTAAGTATTCAATAATGTCTCTAAGATTCATTTTAGTTGTCAAATTGTCAGGGCTACATGTAAATTTAACTTAAATCATCATTTCAAAGTTGCAACTTGCACCTTATCTGGTGCTGATTGTTTGGGTTTTTTAATAATTCCAGATGATCTGATTGTTAATGAGAACACTCCAGAACAAGAAGTCCTCTCAGTTCTTGATGTTCCCCCAGGCAAGATGGGCCGTGTTATTGGAAGACGGGGAGTTAATATCCTGTCAGTAAAGGAGTCGTGCAAGTATGTTGTTCTTTTTAATATTACTGAAGTTAATAACGTCCGATAATATAATATAATATAATCTTTGTGAACCACATTCGTAATGCAACATGAAATAATTACAAGAATACATGATCGCTAATATCCTTTTTAATGGTGTAATGATAAATTTGCAAGTGTGGGAATTGTAATATAGATAATAGTACGAATGTGTGTGCTTGTGCTCATGTTCATGCTCGTGCATGGAGGTTTTAGTTCATGAATCTGGTACATACGTAAGCACTTACATGATATGGTAGGACCAGGTTAAATGTCAAAGGTTTTAGAGCTAAAAGATTTCTGCTATTTAAAATAGGATACTGCTAGTTAATTAATTTTAAGACATTCTGGACAGCAAAGACTCATTGCAAGGGAAGCTAAAAGATTCCCAAAACAAATTTCTTTGTTTCCTGGGACTCGAACCTTCGGTTTTTGCTTCCAAAATCCAATATTGTTTGCATCAGTAATCTTACATGTGTTATTATTTTATTAAAGAATGTGTTATTGAAAAAAAAAAAGAGAAAAATGTAGTTTGAAAATAATGGGGATCAGACAAGTGCTCAATGAAAAAGTGTAGTTACTACAGTACATAAGCATTTTTAACATAGAGTTTGAACTAGTGTAATTTAGATAAGAAATAATTATTAACATACTAAAGAATATACTAAATAAAATCGCATTACGTTTCCTAAAATAAGTATTTCATATAATATATCTTTTAGGATTTTCATCATTTCTTCCTGACTTAAAGAAATAATTATTAAAATACTAAAGAATATACTAAATTAAACTAGTCTAATTTAGATAAGAAATAATTATTAAAATACTAAAGAATATACTAAATAAAATCTCATTACGTTTCCTAAAATAAGTATTTCATATAATATATCTTTTAGGATTTTCATCATTTCTTCCCGACTCAAAGAACTCGACTCAAATGAGATTAATTGCAACTTCATTTTCCAAGGAGGTCTATCCTTTGTCCTGATCTGTAGCGGTATTGAACTCTTGATAGTAACATACGGCATAACTTGTATGAAGGGAGATACCTATAAGAAAACTCATATGAAGGGAGACACATTTCTTATAGATCAAATACTGATATTAAACTCCTGAAAGTAGCATATGGTGCAATTCATCCACAAAAATATCATCTGACTTCACAAATTGAGGAACGCAAGGGACTAACACCTTAGATTGACCTACAAAAACAAAGCATATGGTGCAATTCATTGACAAAAACATCATCTAACTTCACAAATTGAGGAACACAAGGGACTAGCACCTTAGACTGACCTGCAAAAACAATTGATAAGCAACATGAGTGGTTTGATGTGTCCCAATAAGGAAATAATTCTATTATACTGATAATATAACTTTCATTCAAGTGTGATGGAAAGTCAAAACGATTATTTTCATGTGAATGATCCAAAAAATTCTCTTTATGGGTATAGGAAACCATGCCAAAGAAACATATAACAAAGCATAAAAATTACATTTAAAATATTGGAGCCCATATTGAATATCAAAAGCTAGCTCATAAGATTCATGATGTAAGATATTCTCTTTTAATCATGGCATGAAAATTAGGAAAATTGGCAACAGAGGTTGGAATTGAAACAATATGATGGGTAATTAGTAGGCTAATCGAAGATAGGAAAAGTATGCAAGTGAAAATTTGCCTTGGATAACGCCATGGGTACCCAGGGAGTATCACTCAGTTGAGGTAACACATAGCAAAGTCAATGTGAAATTCACATTAAGTAGTGCAAAAACAATTTAAGCACAAAGTGTAGGACATGGAATTTTTGGCTTAGGTGGCAATGCCATATGTGATTCCCTACTTGTCAATGTGAATTGTGGCCACTACAGGTGTGATCACAAAAGGGGATAACAAAAATCTCTTCACCCTTGTCCTCGACAACTAATTTGTCTCCATAAATGATGGCGCTATTCCACTCAAAAGTATCATTAGCCCCTGTACAAAGGGAGGGTACAACCACATTATAGTCACCAAAACAAAATCTATAGATTTTATTGTATCAAGTAAGTGTTGATCTTGATAGCGCACCTCCTGAAAGTCTATCGAATTCATTGCAGAAGGAAAAATCTCCGTCTTGTTCTTTTTCATACTATAGAAGAGGAGAGTAAGCAATTCTAGAGAGATTATCGCTTTCTTATATTATAAGAATCATAATTATCTCTATGGAAGTGACGATATTTCCTAGATAATTTTCTATGGAAATGAAGATATTTCCTAGATGATTTTCTCTTAGAGCCAAAAGGAAATGTTTGAACATGTCAATTATCAATTGTTTACGTTCTAGATCCAACAAGATGACACTGTATCTAACATTAGCCATAGTTTCAAGTATCCTAGCTCCCTTAGGTCAGCATACAATCTGATGGATTTTTCTGAGAGAAATGCAAGTCATTCTACAATAATGAAAAGATATCCTTCATTTGTTCATCACTATATGGAGCATCAAGTGCACTAATTCGAAATATTTTACTTAGGTAATAAGAAACTGCCACTTGTATGACGACGTGATGTTTTAGTAGCTTATTTGAGACCAATGCTCTTATTTGTGGAGAGAGATGCGAACATGGAAACAGTAGGTGATTAGTCTACTTGTGTGAGGAAAATCTCAATTTGTTCAAGGGCATGTGTTCATGAAGAGAGGGAAGAGCGAAGAAGCTGTTTTCCAGTTGTCATTAAATGTTCTTCTAACTTTTTACATTCACATCTTGACATTTTGGGACGTCAAAGTGATTTGTTACCTGTTTTTTGTTGCTTTTAAATATTTTGGCTTAAAAAATACTAAAATCAGAAAGACAACTAGAAATTTTTTTTTTCTTTCTAACCTTTTTTTTTTTGTATTTTTAAAGAGAAACATGGCAACTTGCAACTAAAAAGTAACGTAGTTTTTGTTTCTTTTTTATTTTATTTTATTATTATATTTTTTTTAATAAGAGTTTAAGCACTTAAATGAAAATTAAGGTTCCAATAGAACATACTCGACACTTGACCAAGAGTCAAATGAGAGCAACCTATTTAAGCGTGTGCACTTTACCCATGCTCAAATCAGATAATCCTTTTCTGGTAATGGAAGTGGTCCAAAAATCGAGGACAACAAGCTACTGAGAAGGCTTGGTTGAGCTGGATAGGGGAGAATTCGTGGTTGTACAGAACCTGTAGATATGAACAGAATACCTTTTTTTTTTGTCTCTTTTTTAATAACTAATAACAATCTGAAAACGATGATAGTAGAAACAAATGCTTGTCAGCTGATATTCTTTCAAATTATTATTATTATTATTTTTTTGGGAAACTATGAACAATAATGAAAAATCCAATCTTAATTTATAATTAATCGGTTGACAGTCCCGTGACCCCAAAAAAAAAAATTTCCAGATGAATGGTAACTTGTGAAAAATACTGATGACCAGGTGCTCATGAAAAGTACCTATGAACAATATAATTTTTAGAGTATAGAAGAAGCAACAAACACAGAGAACAACAGTAAGGTAGTATAACAGTTCCGCTTGTTTTTTCCCTTTTTGCGAATAAGAATAAACTAAAACAACAAAGAAGCTTGATGAAGGCAGAATTTGATGTTGGTTGTTGCTGCCCTTTGGGCTAGGTGTTTAATGGTAGATTGGTGGTGTATTTGAGGGTGCTTATGGATGTGGAGAATAGTAGAGGCAGTGGCTAGGTATTTGTGTGGGCTTTTGGAGGATGACATCACTAAATTTTTGAACTTGACCACTTATCAAAACTTCAAGAACTTGTTTGCCCAAGGGAATAGAACTTGCTCATACCAAATTGTTGTAGAACACAATTGAATATGAACGAGATTGAGAAAAAAAGATGAAGAGAGAGGAGAAAGAGAAGAAGATGGAGAGAATAGAAAGAATTTAGAGGGGAAAAAAAAAGTTATAGGTTTTTCAATATCAAATTCTAAATTATTACAATGCATAAACCCCTTTATATAGGTCTAAACTAGTGGTAAGAAACAACTAAATAATTCTAGAGAATCTATTTAATATAACCCTAATTACATTGCCTAAAATAATTATCCAATTTGGAAAGTATTCCATATAATATATCTTTTAGGATTCCAAATAACTTCCTAAAGCCACAAATTTGACTTCCAATTTTTTCAAGTTCTACTTTTAAGGTCAAAGTACAGGAGGTCAAATATAGGGTTTAATGTCACTACAGTAATAAAATAATCAATGTGTATTGCTGTTTCTATATATATTGTTTGCATCTGTTTCTTTCTGTTGTGACTGGTTTTCTTTTGATCTTTTCCTTACTTGAGATATATATATTTACAGTGCTGAAATATTCTTTGGTGGCGACAAAGGTCCTCCTGACAAGGTAAGCTTTCACTGTTACTGAAGAGTCTACTAATGCTATCACTCATTAATTCAAACCTTTTTTTTTTGTCGATCCAGTGTTGAACCCCAACTTTTTAAATGAATATCCTAGCATAAAGTTTCTTGTTATGGGTCCCTCGATGCAAGTAAATGTGCATGTAGTGTACTGAAAAGTATGGACTAGTCTTAATTTCTTCTTTAATTATAAGATCCTTATTGGATGGCTAATTAAACTATTGCTTTTATCATTAACTAAATTATGTACTTCTGAAAGTAGACAGAAATTTTCTTTATTTTCTGTTATTTTTACATCAAATATTAGTGTTGCTTCGCATTTTGGACAAAGCCACATGTAAATGCATAAAAAAACTAGAATAGCTATAAATTAGATCTTGCGAGTTCTTAGAAGTAGAAATCTTCTTTGCCTAAAATTTGGAAACTTCTGGCAAAATGCTTCAAATTAGCAAGTGTATGTGAAGTTTATTTCATTTACTTTTGTTTGTATAAGAATTTCCCCTGCCTATATGGATAACTATTATCCCGTCCAAAAATGTTACTTTTTTCCGGAGTACTATAGATCATTATAATTTCATGGGTCACACGCAGGTTTTCATCATTGGGCCAGCGAAGCAGGTTAGGAAAGCAGAAGCAATGCTAAGGGGAAGAATGCTGGAAATGTACTAGACATCATAATACACTGCTGCTCCATCCAGATGTCTTTACAGTAGCACCACCCTAAAAAGATGGATTTAATTGGCTTTGCACTCGTTGCCATATGAATATGTGCATAAATAAATTCTAAGCTATAAAAACTAAAAAGTGACAGATGAAAATTTGCTCATGTTAACTGTTCAGGTTTGGAATAGGTGATTTCCAATTATCAGAACCAAGTTAATTTGAATACAATTACTGCTATATCACTTGATTGTCCTGTACACTATAACCCTACACTTGCACTGGACCGAAATACTTGTCTGCCTGTCAAGGTGGCGGCTATTGCTCAATTGAGGGGTGGGAAATGATCTACAATGCCGTTGTATGATCTTGGGTTACTCAGTATTCCTCCAGGCAACTTCTTGGCAGGCAAGTTGGGAACATTTGCCTCTAGACAAGGTTCTTTAAGAGCATTTCTATTTCATTATGGATTGCATTCTAAGTGACATTTAAATAGAAATATTTCTGATCTACTTATTTTCCTAATGGATAAACAACTTAGTACGAATAGCATCTTCTAAAAAGAAAGAAACAAGAGAGAAATATTAAATTATGGCGATTCATTCCGTCTAGAAGTCTTCACATCTAGATTATTCATTTGATCATGTCTTATATTTTGTTGCTACGCTATTTGAAAATAGTCATGGACATGTTGCATTGAGAAAATAACCTTTTCTACGAAGTCAATTTTAACTTCTATTCGACCACCTTTTTAGTGCAATTAATGTTAGCTTTGGATATGCTTTAAGTAGTCATTTGTGTTTCAGTGTGTCTGCATGTGTTTTTTACAGTGGACAATATTAAAAAATAAAATGTATTCGTTACATTTAATACAGTTCAATTTCCAAGATGAAAAAAACAGTAAAAGATGAGTTTTAGTTTTCGAAACCATACCGCATCCAGTACAGACATCATGAATTCAAGGTTAAACTCTCAACTTTTTAGGTTGGGTTATGCAATTTTTTGCCCTTTTGCTCGTTGGAGGCCTAAGAAAAGCAAGTGGCGCTAGAATCAATGACCCTGTCCACGCCCTGTCACAGGGGCATGTGACAAGCCCCTGTTTGTTTGTGTAGCATTTCCCATTCCGATCACGACAAGCATATTGTTGCTTTTAGTACACAATGTACTTCATTTCGATCACTACAAGCATATTGTTGCTTTTTGTACTCAATGTACTTCTCAACGGCTATAGTTTGTAACGAATTTTTTTGGGGGAAAAGAGAGTTTTTATTCAAATTTTGGTCGTTCATTTTCAAATACACGATCTGTTTTCATTTAATTTTTCGTCATCCATTTCCAAATGATTGATCTCTGTAGAAGAATTTGCTCCCAAAAAAAAAATAAAAAAAAATGTCAATGTTGTGCATAGCACACTAGCACATTTTCGTAGTTTCTTGCAACAATGATATATATACACTAACAAGCTGATAGCTCTTGCTTCTGCCAAAAGTAGCCCTCGTGGTTCCAAGAATTCCTTAGTTCTAGTATGCCTCACGATTCGCTATAAGATTTCTTTCCAAAAGTATAAAATGAAATTTTAATATTTAATTAACTTATGCAAATGCCAATGTTATAAGGCACAAATTATGTACTTCCAGTCATGTTATTCAAGATCTAATTGAAAATCTGAAATTTGCAATAGAAATGAGTTTTCAGAACAATGAAAGACTTCCAACCAATACCCACTCAATAACCCATTTTAACCTGATAGAAATAAACATAAAACTTTCAATTTTTAAGAGAAAAATTCTACAGGAATTTTGTATGAGTTTGGTTAGGAGCCCTTTGATATATATAGAAAGACAATTGCCATACAACTTCCATCCATTATGAAAGTGGGTGGTTTTCTCCTAAAATAACTTCCTCGTATAATCAAATTTGAAGTTATTTAGACAGTTAACTAACCCACCATTTAAACTTTAAATTAATTTAACTTTATATTGTCAATGTGGGCCACAAACGATTTATATTCTTTTACTTCGTCCACATGTTCAATGGTTAACTTTAAAGTGGATACTTAATATGATCATATACTAAATTGCCAATAACCAACTCATATAGAAATTTATAATACTTGAATCATGGAGGTTGTGTTCTAATAATCAAATATTTCCTTCCATGCATTTTAAGTATGTTTACTTCTAAATGAGTACTTTACTTATGAACGAACTTCCTATAAATCAGTCAGGGTCCATACTTTAATAACAATGAATATCCATTACAAAATTTAAGTGCACTTATAGAACGATTTCAAATACAAAAAACGTCAATTTTGAACTAAAATCAAAGTATTATAATGAGCACACAAATCCCATATTCTCAACATGAGCTTTATAAACTTGAGTCGGCAAGCCCTTAGTTATGGGATTTATAACCATAAAATCTATCTTGATATACTCAATGACAACTTCATTTTCTTTATATGATCTCTAACAACTAGATACTTTATGTCGATATGTTTTCGACTTCCAGTTTTGTTATTTCTTGAAAAAAAAATTGCAACCAAATTATCGAAATAAATCTTTAAAGGTTTCTCTCTATTATCGATAACTCTTAAGCCTTTGACGAAATTTCTCAACCATAATACTTGTATTATAGCTTCATAGCAACCAATGAATTTTGCCTCCGTGGTAAACAATGCAATTATAGTTTGATTGTTGCTTCTCCAAGATCCAACTCATCCAATTAGACGAAAAATGTATTCTGAAGCAGACTTCCTTATGTCTACACATCCAACAAAATCTAAATTCGTATATCCAACAACTGCAAGATTGTCGGAATGCTTGTACGTGAGTTTGTAGCCTTTGGTTCCCTGTAGATATCTCATCACTTTCTTAGCAACTTTCCAACGTTTTATACCCAGATTACTTTGATGTTTGCCTAGCACCCTTACTACAAATGCAATGTCGAGTCTCGTATACATCAAATTGACAACAGAAGCATAGGGTATAGAAGCCATGTACTATTTTTTCAATTCATTTAATGCATAATAATTCTGACTAAATTTATCACCTTTGACAATGAGTTCTATGCTTGATGTACAATCATTCATCCTATATCTTTCCAAAACTTTTTCAATGTAGACCTTTTGAGACAATCTTAATGACCTTTCAAATCTATCTTTATGAATCTCTATGCCAATGACAAAAGGGGTTTCACCTATATCCTTCATTTCAATGTTTTGGCTAAAAAATTGATTTGTGTCATGTAGCAATCCCAAATTACTACTTGCAAGTAAAATATCATCTACGTATAGGTTAGAAAAATGTATTTGCTCCCACTAGTTTTAAAATATATGCACTGATTAACGATATTTTTCGTAAAAACATATGAAGTAACAACATTATGAAACTTCAGATATCATTGACGGGAAGCTTGTTGTAGCCTATATATAGATTTTTGCAATTTGCAAATCATGTGATTTTTTTTATTACTTGCAAATCCTTCAGGTTGTTTCATGTATACTTTTTTTTTTTTTTTAAATCCCCATTCAAGAATATTGTTTTCACATTCATCTGATATAACTCCAATCAGAATGAAATACTAAAGCCATNATTTCATTTATTTTCTAGATTAAATGTAAATTTTACTTCAATACATTTATTTCCTACATTCAATTTGATTTACTCGCCATTAGTTCAACATCTATAAATGAGATGACAAAAAAAACTATACAAGTAGCAAAATCCATTCAACGATATTGATAATTATACAATTACAAGACATTTTCAAGGTATCAAAATGCGTATTAACTTATTTTCATTAATATTATTTTGTTTTAAAAATTATACATTAATTTTTGAACCCACAACACAAAAAGTTTGGGTCCGCCCCTGACTAAAGCCGCTATAATTCTAAACGAATGTTTCTTAGAAATCAGAGGAAATGTTTCATGGCAATCTATACCTTCATTTTCAGTGAAGCCTTTGGCTACAAGTTTGACCTTATATCGTTCTCTACTATTAAATGCATTTCTTTTTGTCTTATCGATCTATTTACAACCAATGGGTGTATGTCCATCGAGTAATTCAACGAGATCCCGAACTTGGTTTTTAGCCATAGATCACATCTATTCCTTCGTGGTGTCATACCAAAAATTTGAGTTTTTCCCTTCAAAGGCATTTGAAAATGAGCTAGGATCATTTTCAAGTCCAACATATGTATCGAATTCTTGAAGATATATAGCATAATATCTAGAAATTGCTTATTTTCTTATTCTAGAGGATCTCTTTATACCTACTACCTTATCTTGATTTTGCATATTTTGATTAGTAATAGATTCTGCATCAAGGGGGATTCTCTTTCTGCATTTTCCTCATTTAGTAACAGTTGTACTTGAGTTCTTTATTTCGATAGGAACCAATATACCCGGGTTCGAAGATGACCCAACATATTCGTTTATTTTGTGAAAATCAATATTTCTAGGAAATTCACTCCCACTCACTTCATGATCCTCCGGAAATTTTACATTTCTAGCTTCGACAATCCATGTGGCGTATGAAGAACAATAGAATCTATAGCCTTTGGAGTTCACCGAATAGCTTATAAAAAATCTGCTAACTATCTTGGGTCCAACATCTTTATATGAGAATTGTAAACCATCACTTCATCTGGACAACCCCATATGTGTATATATCTTAAACTAAGTTTCAATCCATTCCAAATTTCGAATGGTATTTTAAGAACTGCCTTGGATGGAACTTTGATTAAGATATATATGCTAGTTTTTAAGGCTTCACTCCACACATTTAAAAAGAGACTTGAATTGTTCATCATGACCATAACCATGTCCGTTAAGGTCTTGTTTCTTCTTTCTACTATACTATTTTGCTATCGTGTGCTTGGCATTGTATATTGTACTACAATGCCTTGTTCTGCTAAAAAATTAGCAAATGGACCGTCTATAATATACTCTACAATGTATGACCTTATAATTTTTATTTTTCTTTCCTTTTCTTTCTCTACTTCTATTTTATAAATCTTAAAAGTATCTAGTACTTCATCCTTGTGATTTAGAAGATAGAGATACAAATATCTTGAATCATTATCGATCGTTTGGACAAGAAGTGTGAAAATGTCCACAAATATCTATGTGAATAATCTCAAGAATGTCTAAACTCCTTTTGACACCTTTAGAAGTCTTGTTTGTCTATTTTCCCTTTATGCAATCAGTAGAAGTCCCATAATCAGTCAAATCAAGAGTTGG